CTTTCGTCGGCCGAAATTAATTGCGAGCATGAGTGAAGCCATCTGGAAAAACTACCCGCTAGTTCAACCGCGAGGTCGAGAATTTTCTGACCTCGTCTGATTTTTGGTGACGTTTGTCTCAAGAGCCTAAATTTTAGACCGCAAGTAAAATTTTCCGGGAGCCTTGAAAGCTTTGTGACGATGCGTTAGGAAACTGCGGGTTCCAACAGGGTCACAACGCTGCCGTGCTAAGGAAGAACGCCGTATGAACATTCTGGAGTTGCCAAGTTTCCTCGAATGAAGCATGTATTCTTGGAGAAAGTTATGCGTATTTTTCCGTACAATTTTCCGATATTTTAGATTTAATTGAGAACAAAATTGTCTGGAAAATTGGGAGAAAAATATTCAGAATTTTCCAAGTAGATTCGTTGGTTGTTAAAAGAAATATGGCAACGCCTGAAGGCTCATACGGCGTTTTCCCTTAGCACAACAGAACGGTAGCAGATATTGAGGACGCGCCAATTTTTTAGGCGCCGCGGTCGATGCAGTGCGCTCTCTTTACAGCGCTAGAAATTTGAATTTTAAATCCTTTTGACAGATACTCGATGAAGATAGAATATTGAACGAAACTGAGGTGTTAGACACGATGAAATGTTCGTTGCAGCAAGCCTCTTAGATTAGATATGACTACCTTTTTTACAACTTGTAAGAACTTTTGAAAAATTAGGGAGAAACTGAACGGTGTCACTGGCTCTATTGAAATATACTCAACATCTAACGAAAAAAAAGAGAAAAAAATTGAAACGGAGGCCCTAATCGAGGGGCGTAATCTCGTTGACGTTACGGGACGTTATGTTACGTTATCCTCCGATAAGAGGCAGCAGCAGTGGCGTGGAGTGCTTTGCGATATATCGATTGATACGCCTCTCAAACCTACGAAAAAGATCGATTATCAGGGTGTTCGGAGCGAACACCTTAGTAATCGATTCTTTACCATAGCTTCAAATGACGAGATATCGACAATCGATCATTTACGCCACGCCACTGGGCAGCAGGTGCCTAGGTCCAGCCCAATGCTCAGTGTGTGGAATGTGACGAATTGGTAAGCCAGGGAGCTGAAAAAATAAGCTCGGTAGTCACCCATGAACTTGCTACAACAATCAAGGTTTCATGCCAAAATTTAGTGCAAGATCGTACGTCGGCTCTGGCTGATTGGGGGTGAACCTTGACCCAGTTTGAGATGGACCCTAACCAAGTTAGGACTTGCACCTGACCCAAATAGCACAAGCATCCCAGATCAAGGTCTGTTGAGGCTTGAAAGATGAGCCCTAGCTCTTAAGGATGAACTTAAATTATTATAAAATGGCCGAATGGGTTTTGATTAGTGAGTTATGCTGCCCGTGCTTAGGAGGAACGCCGTATGAACCTTCAGGCGTTGCCAAATTTCCTTTGATGAAACGGGGATTTCTTGGTTAACTTGGGAATATTTTCCTCCCAATTTTGCAGATAATTTTGTTCGCAATTTCACCTGAAATTCCTGAAAATTCCATGGACAAATTTTCAGAATTTTCCTCAAAAATAAACATTTTATGGAAGGAAATTTGACAACTCCGAATGTTCATACGACGTTCTTCCTTAGCACGGCAGTATGATAGAGACGGCCTCAATTACTAAGCTAATTCTCCTAAAAAACGGAGGCTCAGTATCGTGTTCTCACGATATTCGAAATAAAATGAGAGTATTTACACGCAAATCTTAGGACCACAACGAAAATCTCAATCAGTTCAATGCTTGAGGTAAGAGGGAAAAAATGGCGATTCCGCAAAAAAACGGTTTCAACTTTTTCGTTGGCGTTAGCTCGAGTGAGAACTTGAATACGCACGCGTTATGGGAAGAGTAATTTCTTATGACAACCGCTAACCGGCGTACAGTGGCACGAGCGAATAGAAGTGGTCGGACACGAAATTTTTCGCTAAAATTTCAAATTTTGATGTTAAATTCGTCACATTTTAAATTATGAGGGGTGCTATCAGTTGAAAATTTCACGAGAAAACCAGTGGAATCACTTTTAAAACCTCACAGTTTTGTATGGAGTTATGAGCTATTGAAGTTTCCAAATTTTGTCCAACCTCCCCCATTGACTCGATCCATTGTGCGGCGAGGAGTAGGTGATTCATGAAGGCAGAGCCCGACGGGCTAGAAATACACAGGAAAAACGTGTAAAATCTAACATTGGCACGATAAAAATAACCTTTCAAGTTCGGGTATTTCATTGGACGAGGGCGGTAAGTTCAATCAATACAGGAAAAAAACCTGATGCCTCTCTTTTTTAGACGTTATTTCCAAGTGGTATATCTACATTATGAAACCGAGTTTGAAGCATTTTTTTCTTTGCTTTTCGTGTTTCGTGTTAAAAATAGGTACCTTGCGATTTGATTACGTTTTGTGATAAGGAACCGCTATCTCTGGCGCTTCAACAAAAACATTTTTCTGCAAAAGGAAACCAATGGCATATATGTTGTTATTAAAAGGAGCCAGAAATAGTGGTTCCATATTGCAAAATGTGGTCTAATTGATAGGGAAAGTAAAAAATATACAAAAAATGAAATAAAATGAAGATGGCTCTTTGAGATTGAAGTCGGTACAATGGATTACATTTCGCTATAAGGAGCCACTGTCTCTGGCTCTTCCACAAAAACAGCTTCTTTCTAAATACTGAAACCAATGGCAAATATGTTGTTTCTAAAAGGAGCCATAAATAGTGATTCCTTATTGCAAAGTGTGGTCCAGTTTAAGTTTGAATTCTCATTTTGACAACGCGAGGATCTTTATGATTTTGAATTTTTCAAATTATGTAAAGTATAAAATGGAGCCATCGACGAACGAGAGAGGTAAAACATATTTCCGCGATTTTGACGGAACAAGCTTTAAGTTTAAAAATTACAGGAAACTTCATGGCTCAAAAAAAGTTTGGACTGATGCGTAATTTATTGAAAATTTACCCTTCAAGATCAATTGCGGTTTCAGAATTGACTAAGCAATACTATTTTTTCATACATCACAATATCATTTTTCCGGAAATGCGACTTACTTCTCATTTGCTGAAATTTTTAACTAGGCTGTGAGGCGACACCCATATTTTAAATATTGTCAATTGGGATGAAAAACGTTAGGATACGGCTCACCCGAGGACGTAAAATTTGATCGAAGTAAGGGAGACGAAATTTAAGTGGGAGTGTTTTAGATCCGCAAATCGAAAATTGGTTCATGAACTCGATCCGTTTCTCCTTCAAATTTCCGGCGTAGGCAAAGTAACAGTAATATGAAGCATGTTGCCCGCACAGACTTGTAAGGCGCAACACCCGACGCTAGTCGCAAAGCGGAGAACGAGTGTAAAAACCTGTCCTATTTGCGGACTTAATTTCTTCAATTACTTTTGATGCACCACTTCTCGAATTCATTATTAAAAAGAAACTGTTCATTGTTTTGTGCAGTTTAAAATTTTCATACATTATGATTAGTTAAGTTTTTCAACGAATTTTTCTCCTCAATCCACTTGTATCTCTCTTAATTAGCCCACATCGACACTTGTCACAAATCGATGGAGAGATCCGAAAGAGGTTATAAAGTGTGAGCCCACTAAGCTTTTATTTTGTTAGACGGAAACTGACAAAAAAATTTTAAACCTTATCAGATCAAATTGACACTTTTGCATGAATTACCACGAATGAACAAAGAACATTCTCAGAAAAATTCGCGTAAATTTATCGACCATTCATCCCTCCGAAAGATAAAATAAAAAGCACGAGACATGAACCATTGAAGGAATTAAAAATTGAGACATCTATCTGAGCCATGTTGTTTAAAACTTCACGCAGAGGTACGATTCACGGAGCGACAAGAAGTTTTGAACTAACCTTAGGCAGTATACACGCACTGATAACAGGCAATGATTATAATTGATAGAGCACTAATGATCTAATCTGTTCCCAATTTTGTTAAAATTTCACATTAATATTGCGCTCAAGATTTTAGTTCGACATTATCACTTCGAAGAAATTTTAATTAATAGATCAAGTGGCTCAAATATTCAATAAACCATCAGACATTCTAAAGATATTGAGCACCACAAGACATACCTATATGTCTCCATATTTACCATTCACATAAAATACGGAGGAAACAATGAACAATTCCAAATTCAACTCATACTAGGTGAAATATCATATTTGTACATATAACATTTATGTTCATTCAAAAACCAACGCTTGTATGATCTCAGTGTGTTTTACGATGACATAATTGCCGAGTGTGTATATTTTTTTGTGGCAAATTTACAACTCTAGTAAATTAGCGAAGGAAAAATAGTGGAAAATGGCATTCTGGAATTTTCATCAACTTTGAATCAAGATAAGAAATCAAGATCTACACTGCAGTGCGGTGGTCTAGCTCTTTCCCTGTCTAGTGGTTTACTCTCACCAGGCTCGTTGGATTATTATTTACAACGCTTCAGATTGTAGAACAGTCGGTAATGTCGAATTGGGTAATAAGGCCTCGATACAGGATCAAATTCCCGAACCAATTACCATCAAAGTGTCGGGAGACATCAGTCTTAAAATCGTTACTTCGCCTGATTTTCAAATGAAAACCTGGCAGAAATGTTTCGTGTGGCAAGAAATGATGAGTGAAGGCATTCCATTCTGATCAAAATTTGACGACTCGTTCAATTTCGATCAAAGAGGACTGTTGCATGGTGATCATCAGTCACCAACTGGTCAACTTTGATCTAAAATTGGTTCGGGATTTGATCGTGTATCGAGACTTTGACAGAGGCGGATCCCGCAATTTGGCAACACCGGATTTTCTCCATTTAAAGGTGAGTTAAATAATCGATTCTTGTCGGAGAACTCGCCCCCTCTAAGAATAGATACATTTTCAAATGTTTAAATGGAGAAAAGCAACGTTGCTAATTTGCAGGATCCGCCAATGGACTTTAAAAGGAAATATAACATGAGACTCACCTCGTTGCGACTGTTGCCGTGGCTCAGAGTGAGGATGGTGGTGCCCCGGCGGGTGAGCGTGGATTCGTCGATCCGGACGACAGTGCTCGGGTCCAGGCAGAGCTCGGGGCTCTTCTTGGCCGAGTTGATGAAGTCCTCGGCCTGCATGTCCTCCACCTTCTTCAGCTCCCCGTTGGCCAGCTGGATGAGGGAGCCGCGGCTGAAGTTGGGCGCCGTCGCCACGCCGCCATGGCTGAACGGCGAGGGCGACGTCGACGACGACGTCGACGTGGGCGTCACCGGGGCCGCGGCCGCCGACGACGAGGGCATCGACGAGGACCCCACCTTGGGCACCTTCGACTCCGGCCTCGTGAGGATCCGGTGCTTGAGGGAGCCTTCCCTCCCGCTCGAGTTGGGGCCGTGCACTGCCTTCAGAGGCCGTCGCAGGTCTTTGGGCGCTGGGGGTTTCGACGTGGAGGGGGAGGAGGAGGAGGACGACGAGGAGGACGTGGAGGAGGAGGAGGGGCACGGGGAGGGTAGCGCGGGGGGTGAGTAGGCGGTGGCGGGGGAGTTGGCGGACGGCTGCGAGGCGGGGAACTGCTCGATGGGTACCGTGGACGGAGCGAGGTTCTGCTCGCGGGAGAGCTGGAGCGGGATGTAGTGGCTCGGGTACAGGGAGCCGAAGGGATTTTGGATGGAGGGG